TGCTAAAGCTGCGTTTTAGCCAACTATTCGAAGCGCTCACGCGTTCTGGTTGCAAAAGCCTCTCCCAAGGCCGTTTGCACAAGAAGCGACATCGATTTTTGCGCATACCCCAGGCTTACTTACAACACACGCTAAAATCGCTGAGGTACACCGCGGTTGCTCTCAGAAATTGCGAACGATGTCGTTGTTGTCGGGCGATATATACGCGATCGAGCTTGGTCGCTGGGAAGCAGCGTCGGCAGTAACTCTTGTCGGCGTTGCGAGTAAGTATTTCGCAGTATCCTCTCTACAGACCGAAATGCTGGAGTCGCGAGCGAGTAATTAAGAACGGACCTAATTGTTTCGAGCCGCGACGGAAAGACGTAAAAACGGTTCTTGCCCGGGACCACACGGAACTGCATGGGTACTTTTCTGTTTTTCATTTGCGCAGTGAGGTTCCTCCCGTAATTCGCGGTGCTGCGATAGCTCTTATCCCTGGAACCGCGACGACTCGGTCTCCTTAATTCCGCATCCAAAAACTGCCGGATTTTTTTTTTTTTTTTTTAAGCGTACGCGCGTAGGAGGTTTTTTTTCCTTCGGGCACGGGTAAACGAATACGCTGAACAAAATAAAAACGAATGAGCCTTACTTTTCTAATGGAGGATTATGAGGATGAGTGGGATATGATTGATAATCCTTGACTTCTTTTGTATACAGTGGCTTTTCCGAAATATGTACTACTGACAAAAACTTATTACGCTTGAGTCGAAGTAATTCGGGCATGAACTCGGGGGGAATTGTTTTTTCTTACTTCGTTCCTCTTAAGATAAGAATTAAGATTCAAGACGCTCTGGGTTGGAAAGTGTGGCAAGACCTAAAGGAGTATATTTATAAATACGTATGTCTTTGTGTGTGTGTGTGTGTGTGTGTGTGTGTGTGTGTGTGTGAGTGTGTGTGAGTGTGTGTGTGTGTGTGTGTGTGTGTGTGTGTGTGTGTGTGTGTGTGTGTGTGTGTGTGTGTGTGTGTGTGTGTGTGTGAGAGAGAGAGAGAGAGAGAGAGAGAGAGTGACAGAGAAAGAGAGAGAGAAAGAAAGAAATAAAGGGAGATATTTGTCTTTTTTATGTACTATAAGCATTTTACTGGAATGAAATGTGGAGTGTGGAGACCTCACTTCAGAACTTTAAGACCTCACGACTCACGAGTTTCGTTCTTCTGCGCGATTTAGTTACTTTGAGCGCCAATTCTGAGCTAGCTCTTTGTTTGTATATATATATATATATATATTAGTGCATCTTTTACGATTTTTTTTTTGTAATAAGCCCGTTCGAATTAAAATGGAACACCGATACTATATATATCGGGTGTTCCATTTTAATTTGAACAGACTTATTACAAAAACAAATCGTAAAAGATGCACTTATACAGTTTGTGCAGGTGAGTTATACGGCCGGTGGAACATCATATAGGTGGCGAATCTTTTTGATAAGTCGGATAATTAACTAAACTTCCTTAATTAACTTCTTAATTAGTAAAATAACGCCCTATAGTTTCAATTGTGAGCATGCTGAGCATAATTGAAAACCACTATGTCAGTCAATTTTAGAACTACTTGAAGCTCGTAGGAACTCGGGACCGCACCAAAGTTACCACTGGTACAGCAGACGCAAAGCTAGCTGTGGCGGAACGCGATGATAACCTAATCATCCGCGTTTTGCGACTGCTGCAGGAGGACTGGATGCCCTTTGACGCGCTAACTTCCCTAACACCCCTTTGTGGACTCCCGAAAACGGGTTAACCCTTTTTGGGCGATTGAAACAATCTGTATTTCCTTGATATCATGGCTCAGTTAGTCAACAAACGTGCGTGATTCGGTAATAAACTTCAACTCCGTTTTTTTGTTTTGTTTTGTTTTTCGTTACAATCTGCATTGATCTGTGATGCTTGAGTACACCGCCCACTCCGTCGCACGCGCATCTTCCGTGTTCTGGTGCTGAGGAGATTCACATGTGACATTTGTCTTCTTCTAGATTGGTATAAATCGAAACGATTTTTGATGTGTCTCGGAACTCCGTCAGAAATATACATTACATCAGAAAACAAGGGCAGCAGCTCCTCGAGTCGTTCTTCGATAAAGGCAAATGCAAAGAGCGCGTGTGCAGTCGTGGCAAGTGTCATTACTCACCATTCTAAAGCTTAGTGTCCCCTTTGAGATCGTGGCTACGCAGGTGAAGATAGTCACCATCTTATTCTTTCAGTGGTAGCTTTGCACGGCACGTTGAATGACAACACTCCAGTTTTTTTTTTCGAAATCGATGTGGTATGGTCACGTCACCGGGCTGTAGATTCGTTTTTTAGAGGCATATGGCAGTACGTTGAGCGCGTTTGATGTAAGAGTGGGGTATGTGTTTTGTCGTCCACTTCTTGAACTCGTTAAATAAAGCTGTTGCTTCCAAATATTTTCTTAGTAACTCCCCACCATACTCCCACAATCCCAACTCTAGGTCATCTTCAGGTTAAATGCAAATTTTCTCAAGAAAGAGAGATTTTCGTTTGAACAGGCTGCGCATGTTAAAATGAAGCAGTTTTCTGATGGATTGTCACAAAGAAAACAAATTTCTGAACATCTTCAAATTCGTGGTCTTCCCTGCGGTGTTTGACAGAGATGTGAGGCAAAGTGAAAAGTTGGCACAGTACACGCACACTCATTCTTTGTGAACTAGGCGTCTCTTAACTCACTTAAGTCGAAGAGAGTAAAATTTCGTTAGGGCAATTTTTGATTCGGGATGGTCCGCTTTGAATTCCTTGTAGGCTTCCCTAATCGATCTTGTCATGAACCGCTTCGTGACGTACACTTCCTTTCTGTCAATGAAAAGCCGCACGACATCTTTCTTTTCGGGCTTTGCCTTGGGGCAATCCATAGCGTCTGACGTGTAGTAGGCTAGGGCAAGAGCCGCATCACTTTGTCAATAGGATGTCCTTTGTGTGAGTCAGCTGTCGCCCAGATCCCCATTTCTCTTCTGCGCTTTCTTGAAGCGTGCTTTGTGGCTTCAGAGATTGCTTTTAATATATATATATAGAGAGATAGAGAGATTGGAGGCCAGCAAAGTAAACAGGCGGCAGCGTTCTTTTTGCGACATTCTTTTCGATAGGCAACACGCAAATTACTGGCCCAGCCTGCGCATGGGGAACTTGACTCTCTTCATTGTCAAGATCTACAGGTGCTCCGTTCACATGGCTCAGTTTATGGCCTATTTTATTTTGGAATTCCTTGGTCACTTCGGATTGTTTCCGTTTTACATAGCCGGCACGTCTGCGCGAACTTGCGCTAGGGAGCTTTAGCAAGTCACACTTAGTACTTGAACCAGGGCATCCTCGTCATTGAATGATGTGTCCGCTGGCGCCAGAGAGGGTGACGATGAGCTCAGTGACGATGCTTTCTGACCTCGCTGATGTTGTTCGGTCTATCTGCAGAGCGTTGTGTAACGTTTTTGCACACGACGTCATTGGGGTCGTCATGCTCGGCATCCTCGGCCCGTATACTGAGGCCAAGTTCTGAAACTTTGTGGAAATAGCGACCGTGATAAATTTTTCGCTTGTGCCTTCTTGAATAATCGGCGCACGCTTGCCGGTCTTCACTGAACTTGCAGGCCATAGCACAAACGAACGCTCCTGGCTTTCTAGAAAGAAGAGAGTCCATTTTCAAATACATTAAGCGTAGAACGGAGACGGAGTAAACATCAGCGCTTCGAGATTGCTTGAGCCAGACGGGAACCGAGTAGGTTCCCACTGCCACTATCCCCTTCTTTTGTAGAGCGTGTCAGATAGGGTGCACGGGAGGAGGAGGAAGGAGAAGGGAGGAGCGCTGACGTTCGATCTGTCCTCCAAATGCCCGGTCTTGGGATAATCCAGGCTTGCCCTTGCTCCCAGAGAGATAATCCTTTGAAGCTCTGGTACCCTGCTGGATACACTGACGGTAGACCGGCGCAGGTTTTAATACGTGGTCCCCTAGGTGGCTGTCTAACTTCCTGTAAGAACTCGGAGCCGGAAATTAGACTGAGGGTAAGTGGTATGTACTTCGAAGGAAATGCGCCACGGATTGTGCAAGGAGTATTGCGTGAGCGAACTTACGAATACTGTCTCTTTTTACTCCGCGTTATGCACAACTTTTCTTACTTGTACGCTACATGTAAAGGCAAGTATTAGTATTTGGTCATTATTCATATCCATGGCACAATATTGTCCATAATAGCACCCATGCGAATGCGCATTGAGAACGTACATCTTACAATATTCAAGCGTTAATTGCGGAGAGAAAAACGAGCTACTACGCTTTCTATTTACACTGTCTAATAAACCACTATCGTAGCTTACTAATCAAAAATTAAGGAAATTAAAATTAGGGTTTTGAAAGCAAAATCCCGATTTCGCAAGATTTCTTAAACATTGGTTAATTTAAATGTATGAAGCACATTGTTTCTTTCATATATAATATTGAGTTTATATTTAATCGAACGATGTTAGTTTGAGCTTTCTGGTGGTATCTAGTTCATTAAAATATCTTGGTAAGGTAATACGTACAAGATGGTCAAGGCTGGCCAAAAATAATCAGACACAGTTCGGCATTTCCTTTTCAGATATTCCTAAGTATATACATAAAAATCCAATGCAATAAGCGCAATTAAAACTGTTTTGAAAGTGTCACCCTAGAGCCCTTGTGCAGTAGTCTGAGAAGTGACGAAATAACGAGTGGTAAAACATGCGATCTCCGACAGGCTGAAGAAACACCAGCTTTCTCGTTTGCCGCTTCCATGGCCAATAACCTGAAAACAAAACAAAAATCCGCCAAGCCTGCCCTTTACGCTCTTTTTCATTTCAAGAAGGTGGCCAAAACATTTTTTTTTTTGGTCAGAATGAAAAATTCGATTGTAAAACCATGCCCGAGTTGAGATGAAAACATCCATATATATATTTGTGTTCCGAGTGTTTTGTTTAATCTGGGATCTGTTTTCTTGTCGTTTCAGGTATGTGAAACCACCTGTACTTGCCCCCGCAATTCATCGTGTAGGCGACTAAAGGTAAGGTGAGATTGGTCGCCTTGAGTGGCCCACTGGTCTTGTGTTCATTCAAAATTCCATTCTTACCGAAGCTAATTTTCGTTTAACTTTGAAAAATGCGAGTGAAGCGTGCCATCAAAGAGGGTTTGCTGGCTGCTAAACACCCGCGCTGCAAGCTCCACGAAGCTCCACGAAGCTCACAAAAAAGAAAGCAAAAACACAAAAGGCATTTGAGTGAACTCCGAGACTCTTCGACAAGACTAGAACTCTTTGCCAGTTGCAAAAGATGGGAAAACAACGGGGAAAAGAAAAAAAAAAAAGCGCTACAGAAGGTCTTTATAAAATGCAGATCTGCGTATGGCGGTTTGATCGATGTATCGAAATAAAGCAGCAGATTTTTGCTACTCTCTTAATCCTGGACGAGGTTGCAGCGAGCCAAGAAAGGAGAATCGCGCTGCGCGTTAACGATCGCGAAAGGTTCCGAAGTGACATCGGTCCTTCGGAACATTCGTTGTTTGTTTGCAATATATAAACACACAGCGTTTACATTCACTATCAGTGCCATTGCATTCCCCAACAAATCTGGATGCATTACCTCCCCACGAAAAATTATGAAATGCTGCTAAGACTTTTTATATATTATTAGTCACAAAATTATTCGCGAGAAAGATAGGCCTCATATGGTCCAAATATGTTTTTATTTTTTTTTCCTTTACACTTCTATATCTTTGAAACATGAGTCGTGGTTACACCGTGGTCGTGGTACAAGTATGGTACCGGGTACGTCGTACAAGTGTCACACTGTCGTCTGCCGCGATCCTGGCGGTGTCGCAGCAGCGGTCGTGGATGTGGCAGACGCCTGTTCTGCTGCAGGTCGCTCTTCAGTTTGACAGGCCACGGAAGCTTCGACAGTCAGGCGTTGGGACGCTGCGACTACAGCGACACTCGCGTTCTCTGTTGTTTTTATCCGACCGTATGTCACTCCGGCTTTTGTGACATCATTTTTGCCATTTGGGACCACTTTCGATCATATGGCGGAATAGGACGCCAAATGCATTAGTGTTCCAGGCCCCGTAGTACAATGGAGGCCTTAGCGCTCGGTTACACGTTCCGCAGTTTCTGCAACTAGGTGATTGACGTCTGGGGTGTTTCTGAACGATCTCTTTTCCATGAAGGTGGAAAGAGTCTAGGCCGACTCGGTCGAACGCCAACTCGTCGACGGCAACATCGTCGGCAGCCCATTCGTCGAATATGCCAGTTCGTCATAGGGCAACTCGTCCAAGGAAAACTCGTCGAAGATGCCAACTGGTCGCCGCTTTTTGAAAGCCACAATATGTAACTTTTGTCCTAAAACTTTAAAGGAAATACTGCCCTAAAGTGATCCCTAAAATTGCCGTATGATAAATTAAATGACCCTTAGTGTGCTCTTTCTTTTCGAAGACAAGAACTTGCCGCATTGGCCGCTTTCATGGTGCACTGAGAGACGGTCAGTACATCGCTCGTATATCACTGGTGCGCGCGTTAACCTACCCGGCCCAACCGTTCACGCCGCTTCTTCGCGACAGTCTGCGGCAGCTCATTACAAAAACGTCAACCCACCTGTCCCAGGCGTTCACGCCGTTTTGCGGCAACCGTCCGCGGCGGCTCATTACAAAAAGTAATGAAGAAAAGGAAGAAACGAACGTTCCCGAGTTGACAGATTTCTCAACTTGTCTCGAGGTTCTGTCCTGTCCTCGCGCTCTTATGATTTTTCCTTCCGTCTTGTAACATAACAATGGCACTGTCCCTAGTCCAAATACAAATTAAAATTTAGGTCAAAAGATAACAAGAAATCGCGATCTTTTACGTCTGACCTTCATTCAAAGGAATCGCCACTCGACAGATTTCCCCGACAAGTTGCTTTTCGACGAATTGCCCTATTACGCATTGGCCTATTCGACGAATGGACCATCGACACGGTGGCTGTCGGCGAGTTGGTCGGATCCCGGTTGAAAAGGTGGCGATGCAAAAAAGTGGTTGCTATTGTTCTTGAAATTGCGGTATCTCAATTGACCGACCAATGAAGGCATTCTAAACTGCGTCTTTTAACTCTACCTCGTAAAACGTAAAGTGTTGCCATATATAGAGTGCGATAATATACATTTGCGTCCTTATAAAATAAAAAAAATAAATGTGTTTTAAACTTTAAGTGCCCTTAGAGTGATGTTCTCCTTATCGAAGGGTAGTCACCCATAGGTTGAGCTACACCCCTCCCGGAGTGTTATATCCAACTTCTGAAATGTTTTTTTTTTTTTTTTTCTTGAGCAAGTTTTTGACCCCGTTTCGTCCTCCTTCCCGTTTACGTTTTCTGAGGCTCGGTGACTCTTCTGGACTTAAAACAGCTTCGGAAATTAACGCAGGTCACTTTCGAAGGGATGATATCGACACAGTGGCTAGACACTGTGCGACACTGTTATTGTGAAAGTGTCCTTTTTTTTTTTTTTTTTGCTTTTAGAATTAAAATGATGCCATCAAAACTACTAGTGCGTAGGAAATTGCTCATTTGGACCATTAACCTGGTAAAATTTGATGCGTCCCAAAATTCGTTTTTGTCCTTTGACACTTGTACAGCCACAAAGTGGACTGCTGTGCTCAAGCTGCATTTACACTCTTCGTACCAAAGCACACACGCGTAAAAAAAAAATACTTGCTTAATAAATCGCAAATAAATTTACTGAAATATATTAACTAGCTAGTAATCTCATAACATCTATAATACTACGCATAAGTATTGAACTAATTGCATTTTAATGGCTTACCTATGTTTGGAAGTTTTGTCTCAGTTTTAATTTGTAATCGTCTATAAACTGGAACGCACGTTATATCACCCCCCCCCCCTTTTTTTTTTCTTTTTTGTTCTCTGGATTGTGAAAGCTAATTTCAATTTTGTCTGATATGAACGACCCTTTCTGATGGAATGACGCTTTAAATTCGACCATGCGGAACTTTACGGTTGAATGAACCCATCGGGAAATGGATATGCTTCACAGGGACGGGATTCTCAGATGTCGTTCTGTGCGGACGAAAGCCTTTAAAAGAGCGAAAGAATGATGGAGGGGGGAGCGAGACAGAGTGAAAGAAAGGAGAATTAATTCACTCAGGAGGAATTAGTTTTGCAGGATTATTCTGGATTATGAGATGAGAACTTTATATGAAAAGGGTTTAATCGAGCATAGATATCTCCACATTTTCTTTGTCGCCACTTCCGTCGTTTTAAGTATCTCCGGCGAAGAGGTGCCGACCTTTAAGAGCCGAATATCTAGAGAGATAAAGGGGGAGAGAATGGGATAGAATCCTAAAATAGGGTAAAACTAAATAACGTAAAATGCTGACAACTCGACGCAACCGCCGTTGAAGGCTTCGTGTTGTATGTGTGGGTGTTTGGTGGGTGAATGTGTCGATGTGTGGGTCGGAGGGAGTTTGTAAAACGCACTGCTTTAATAGAAACACTTGGTGTGGTACTTCGCGAAAACCCAGAACAAGAATGACGGCTGGATTTCAAAGTTTCTGCTGATAATGTCCTGTTCACGGCTTGAACAAGAAAACAGCTTACGTAGGATTTTCCCGGCAAAATTCTAGCTTTGATGCGCGCTATACATAACCGAAGATGTTCGTTTAAAAATGTTTTTGGGTCATCTGTGTTCGTATCTGTTTGTGTGTGCGTGGGTGGGTGGGAGTGGGAGGTTTTCCTAAACGCACTGCTTCAATAGAAACATTGCGCATGGTACTTTCAAAAACCCCGAAGAGAAATGACAGCTGGATTTCAAAGCTGCTGCTGAGCGTGTCCCGTTCGCGGCTTCAACAAGCAAAATGGTTTGCTTGGGATGTTTTTGACAGGAGTCAGCTGTGATGCGCGCTACGTGGCTTCTCTAAACGACGTCGTTCGTTCAAAAACGTTTTTTTGGGTAATTTTGTGTGTGCTTGTGTGTGTCTATCTGTGCGCGCGCGCGTGTGTGTGTGCGTGTGTGTGTGTGTGTGGTGAAACAATACTGTTGTGACCTACCCTCATGCCGCCGATCCTGTTTTGTATTATTTTGTCTTTCGGTTTTTTCTTTGAGTGAGGCAGACCAGGCCACTTTGGTCTCTTCCACATTTTCGTGGATACGCTTTTTTTTCTGCTTTCTGTATCTGCTTTTCAAAAAATGACCCACTTTGTTTTTGTGTTTTGTGCCTCGTGAAGATATCAATGATTGATCGCTTCGCTTGGTCTGAGATGGTTGGTAATGAGAATAGCATATTTTGATGGATAACAGTGTTTTTTTTTTTTTGATGTTGTGTAAAGGGTGAAAGCATCAGTTGAATTGTATAAAAGGTAGTGTTTGAAAATCTTTTGTTCTCTTTGGAGTGTGCATATGCCACAAGAACAAAATACAAAAAATATCGAGAACGGATAACGTGATAGAAACGAAAACCGAAGGAATGTAAGGAAGAACTAGACCAACGCTACCCGGATATTCAGGTTCCGAGGTATTTTCCTCGGCGCACCAGTTCTAGTGCTTGCGCTGCAACATCTTTTACGAGTACATTTGTTTAAAACTGAGAGTATGTATGCGCGCAAAAAGAAAAAAGAAAGAGATAGATAGATTTGGGAAGAGAGAGAAAAAAAAAATTATCCCTGATGCGATACAACGATGGTAAAGTTTTACGGAACGACACTTTTAGAATCATCAGATACGCTTAGAACATATAGGTGAGTTGTTTACGCATGAACGGCTTATATACTTTCGTTAAGAATCACAATAGTCGGTTGCTACTAGTTAAGAGTTCGGGGGATGGTCCTCCCACTTCTTTTCCCTCTAGCAGAGCTAACGCTGGGGAGGAGGCGACCACCTCTCCAGCGTTCGCTCTGATAACGTGGAAAGAGGTAGAAGGAGCTTTTTCCGAAATCTTAACCTGCATCAACCGACCATTGAAGGCCATAGACCTCCTGAAAAGGGTCCTTTACGGCCGTCGTGACAGTGTTTACGTGTTTGACACTTGTA